CGCTCCTATTGGCCCAGCCGCCGCTCGGCGCCGCGCACCGGTTCCCTCCCCCTCGCGAGAACAACTTTATTGAGCGCTCGGAGGCGGGCGCGGACACTGTGGGGGGGTGGCTGGCTCCGGAGGTCGCGGGTTCGAGGCTGCCTCCCCTCGCTGCGTACGCCGCACCGAAATCACCGGAAAAAGAAACATACACAGTGAAACAGCGTGCATGGAGTTGCTTCTCTCTATTCTCCCCTTCCCTTCTTAGTCATCGCTAACYCTTGCTGCCAAAACCCTCTGTGAGCTGATTCCTCGGGAGGTAAAATGCGGATAACGATTTCATCCGGCTTTTGCCTCCTATGGCCAAATACACGAGCAAACTCACAGCCAGCAGCTACTCTGACCATCACCAGTGCAGCGGTGTCCTGAGGGGTCTGCTGTGTTACGTCCCCTCTTGGTCACACACACACAATACCGTTAAAGCAGATATTGCTAATGTCAGGGGATTTATTSGGTAAAATCTGGGAACTGGGAATTTAATGGCTCTGCAAGGGTACATCCAGCAGTCTGCTTGTGCAAGAGATGATGTCTGGACCTTGCCTCTCTGTTCCAAAACTATCACCCTTCAAAGCTGAACAGATTGCCCCATTAACACAGCCTCTATTTCAAAAAAAATCCCATGTAAGAAGCAGTTTCTAGGCCAGASGCAGCGCTGGCACAGGCTGCAGTAGCTCCCCAAAATTGCAAAGTGCATACGGAGGGTCAGGGTGTATCCTTGCCTATCGGTTCAGTTCGAGCGGAGCMCCTGGCCCTGGAATGGGTGCCCTGSTAGGACAGAYGCCTTGGTGGGACGGTTGTCCTGGTGTGATGGCTGTCCTGGCAAGGTGGGTGTCACCCCTCCCTGAGTCCATCCAGGCTCCCAGGGCACCTTTCCAGAGCGAGGAGGAGAGTCCGGTTCGCTCAGAGACCGGCACTGGTGTCCCCTGGGGCGGGATGGGGGAACAGCCGCCCTTTGGCCGGGACCGAAGGAAGCGGGGACAGGCGGGGTCCGAGTAGGAGAGGGGACAAGCCGGGTCCGAGTAGGAGAGGGGACAAGCCGGGTCCAAGTAGGAGAGGGGACAAGCCGGGTCCGAGTAGGAGAGGGGACAAGCCGGGTCCAAGTAGGAGAGGGGACCGGCCGGGAGCCGGGGCCGGGCGGGCGGCAGTGCTCGGGCAGGCAGGTGGCAGCAGATCCCTGTGGAACGGCTCGGTGGCGCCGGGAGCCGCCCGGAGCAGCCGTTCCTGCGGCGGGACCCGGGTCCTCTGCACGGGGCACGGGTGGCACGGGGTGCTGTCCCCTCTATGGGTGCCTGTCCCTCTGCACTGGGTGCACAGGGCGCCTGTTCCCTTGTCCCCTCTACATGTGATGCCTCTACCCTGCATACTGGGTGCCCACACCCTGAGCATAGGGTGCTTCTTCTCTCTGTGCCAGGGGCGGTTTAGACTGGATATTAGTAAAAATACTTCACTGAAAGTGTCGTCGAGCACGGGAACAAGCTGCCCGGGAAGATAGTGGAGTCACCACCCCTGGAGGGATTTAGAARACATTGGTTTACGAGTGGGATTATCAATCCTGGGGTAGCAGCTGAACCTGATGACGTTAGAGGGATTTCCCAACATTTCCAACAATTCTAYGACTCTGTAATTTCCCCTCCGCACTAGGTACATTTCCCCTATGTACCTAGAGTATTATCGCTCCTGTGCACACGCGCCTGTCACCTCTGCACAAGGTGTGTTAGCACTGGGTGCGTGTCCCCTCTGCACACAGCGCTTGTCCCCTCGGCACGGCACGATGTCCCCTCTGCACACAGCGCTTGTCCCCTCGGCACGGCACGATGTCCCCTGTGCACACAGCGCTTGTCCCCTCGGCACACAGCGATGTCCCCTCGGCACAGAGGTTCCTGTCACGTGTGTGCAGGGTGCTCGTCCCCTCTGCACACAGCGCTTGTCCCCTCGGCACACAGCAATATCCCCTCGGCACAGAGGTTCCTGTCACGTGTGTGCAGGGTGCTCGTCCCCTCTGCACACAGCGCATCGCTGCTCCGCACAGAGCGCACATCCTGCCGGCACAGGACACGTGTCCCGCCTGCACGTGGAGTGTGTCAGCGCCACTCAGGGTCACCGACATCCAGCATCCCTCTGGGATTCACACAATGACCCAGAAAAACAGGAACGAATCCAGCCCCATGGGCTGCTCATCTGGGAGTGCACCCACGACCCCCTGAGTGTCCAGAGGGGATGCGTGGTCACCTCAAACCACCTCTGCAAACTGAGCTGGGGTTTTCTTCGGAGGGCTGGRTAAAGCACATCAGCCTCTACTTGCTACCCTCATCCTCCCACYACACAGAGCTGTGCACAGGCTGAGAGCACTTCCTTCACAAAAAGTACTTTATCTTTCCATAGAAAATACTCCTGAGGGGACCAGAAAACCCCCTGAGACCACCTACAGGCAATACCAGGCGCTGGGTACATTCCAGGCCATCTCCTCACATGGGTGCCTGCACCCATTCCGCTGGTCCTGTGTCTTTCCTCACCCCGAATCCTTACTGGGGAAGCTGGAAAGGACACCAAGGCTGAGGGTCCCCACCTSTGCCAGACAGGCCTGCAGGCAGAGCCAGTAGCAGGCAGGGCAGGCTGGCACTGGAGGGTGCAGAGGTGTCTGCCCACGTCCCACCSTGGCACGCTGCTGGGAACGGGGAGCGGTTGATGCCTGGGGCTCTTCCTGTGAGGGGAAACCCCATCCGCTCCTGGCTTTGTTTCTGGTGCAGGATGCGGGTGCCTGGCTCCGGTGGGCCCAGGCTGCAGCCCCTCCGCTGCAGTGGCCGGGATTGCAGCCTTGCTTCACATGGCTCCAGCAGCAGCTCCATGCCAGTCTTCTTTACCAGCAAAGCGTATTCCCATAGGATTTATTGTTTGTTAAATGCATTTAGGGCAGGGCAGACCSTTAAAACTCACCCCCAGCACTATGTCTCTGTTGCAACAAGCYATGCTGGGAGGCTGCTTAGGCAAAGATGCACTAATGCAATAAGGCAACACATTTAAAAGGCAAATGGGTGCTGAGCTGGGTGTTGCTTGTCTCACTGGCAAAGCTGGGTGCTGAGCRGTCTGGGCACCCCTTGCAGAGCTATGAGCTGAAGCTGGGCAAACCTTTGGGGAAGGGGTGACCCTGGATCATCCTGGATGCCTGGACCATCCCTGGGCACTGGTATTGCCACGCTCCTCCTATGCAGACACCCCGCCTTGTGCCACCCAGCCTAGCAGAAAGGACTATAAGGGTACCCAAGTGGCCAATTTTGCTGCTTTTTTTAATTTGTCCTGTCCCTGGTGCCTTGTCACCAAGAACTGCAGTTTTTCCTGCCAAGCAGAGCTGTCCCATTGCCCAAAGAGGCACAAAAGAGGTGAGTGTAGCAGGTCTGGGAACCTACTTCTGTGGTGGGGCACACCCAAGAGACGTGTATGGGCAAGCAGGTGCCTAAAAAGTGACTCTTTCACTTGGCAGAGACTTTCGGAAGTGAAACACAACCCRTGCATCTTCCCACTGCCCTCCCTCCCCCTCCCAGCAGACACCCCTCATCCATGCAGCCAAGTGCTATGGTTATGATTACCTGCCCTCCTGCATCTGGAGTCATTGCAGCTCTAAGCAAGGTGCTCCCCAAAAATGASCCAGAAGAAGGTGCTTGGAGGGTATGCCCACAGCAGGAGCCAGGCACTAYAGCTGGAGCTATTTGGCATGGGGAGGCTGCAGGGGAAGTGTCCCTTTGGGGATGGATCTGTTCTGCAATGGACTGGGCTTTGCAAAACAGGAGCTCTTGAGGAAGAGAGGTTTGTCCCCACTATAATTTGTCCAGGTGCTCTCCTGCAGCAGCTCAGGGCAGGCGTGCTGCTGGCCCAGGTCACCCTCCCATCCATCACACTTGCTCTCACAAGCTCTTTCACCAGAGAAGCCCCAGCGTGGTGCAGAGGGACCTGCCATGAAGCCAAAGAAGGCCTGGAGGGGACTGCAGCCCCTCCTGCCATTGCTTGCCCACACCCCATGGCATATCACCTGTCCTGCCTGSGAGACCAGCATCTCAAAGATGTCCAGAGCCACCCCACATGCAGGATGAAGTCCATCCCATACCCTATGAAGGTMCTCTTCTCCCCCAGACAGGTGCAGAGCCCACTTAGGGAAGGACATGGGGGTGTTTGTGAGCAGCCCTCTCCCACCCCACAGTGACAGTTTCCACACAGGTGTCCCAAGCAGCAAAAATGCTCAGCCTCCAACACAGCCCACAGCACTCGTACTTCCAGATAAACTMCTTTATTTCCATCCAGTTTCACCACTGGTACAGAAAATACAAAACATGAAAAACAAAAAAAAAGAAAAAATAGGCTTTTCTCTTCCCCCCACCCCCCATCCCCGAAGCATGCCGGCTATTTACAGGCAGAGGCGAGCGGCTCAGTGGCAGCAGCTGCACTTGCTGCTGGTCGGCTCCTTGCACACGCAGCCCTTGGCGCAGTTGCTGCAGCTYGCGGGGCAGCAGGAGCAGCAGCCTGGGGGGGATACAACAGTTAGGAGGTAGGTGGAAGGGATTGGAATGCCATGGGGCAGGGGCACACGATGGAGAGTGGCAAACACCACCTCTGCGTGAGCAGGGCTGATCCCAATGGATTGGAGCTCTCCATGAGGGTCCTACAGGGCAGGGACAGCATCCGAGAGGGAACTGCGTGGTGGGGCGTCTCAATGGGCATGGGGAAAAGGGAAGGACCCCATGACAATCCTACAAGGTGAGAGGGGAAGTGGTGGGGTCTCTGTATGGGGTCCTACAAGGCAGGAGGGGTTGTCTACAGGGCAAGAGTTGGGACGTCCCGATGGGAGTCTGACAGAGCAACAAGGAGTTCCCCTGTGGGGCAGGAAGGTGTCCATGGGCACAGGGCAAGGAGGCATTCCCCTATGGAGCAGCGAGGTGCCCAGGGAGCCCCACACTGCAAGGAGAAGGTGCCCTATGGAGCAGAGWGGTGCCCATGGGTGTCCCACAGGGCAGTGGCAGCTCCCTCCAAGGGCACAGCCGGGTTCCCCCTCCCTGAGCCCCCCACTCACTCTTGCGGCAGCTCCGGCAGCGGCAGTTCTTGCACTTGCAGGACCCGGCGCAGGAGCAGGAGTCACCTGGGGAGCGAGCGAAGGAGAGCGGAGTCAGCCAGGAGTCGGGCAGGCGGGAGGCAGGCGGGAGGCAGCCGGGCAGGATGGGGCACTTACCGGCGGCACACGTGCAGTCCTGGGGGTCCATGGCTCGGCTCGGCTTGGTTTAGCTCAGTCTAGCTCGGCTCGGTGCGATGGGGATGGCAGCAGTGCCGACCAGTGCCGCCCGCCCGCTATTTATGGGGCAAGGCGCGGGGCGGTGCAGGCGCTGCGCACGGTGCAGCGGGGCCGCGGGCACCGGGCCGTGCTCACCGGGGGCGGTGCCGAGCCGTGCCGAGCCGTGCCGTGCTCACCCTCGGGCCGTGCTCACCCTCGGGCCGTGCCCACCCGGGGGCCGTGTCCTGCCCCGGGGCCGTGCTCACCACGGAGCCGGGCCGTGCTCACCGGGGGTCGTGCCGTGCCCTACCCCGGGGCCGTGCTCACGGGAGGCGGTGCTCACCGCAGGGCCGTGCTCACCCCGGGGCCGTGCCCATCGTGGGGCCGTGCCCATTGTGGGGCCGTGCCGTTCCGTGCCGTGCCGTTCCGTGCCGTGCTGTGCTTACCCGGGTCACCTGTCTGCTCACCCCCACCCCAGTCCCACCTGCGCCTCCCTCCCCGGCAGGGTGCTGCACCCCGGGGGACCGAGACGCTGAAATGCGCAGGATGTGGATGGCATGGCACTGCCACCAGGTCCTGCACCCTTGGGACAMCCCCGTGACGCTGTCCATGTGTCCAGCACTGTGGTGCAGTGRTGTCCCCCATCTCAGGGGTAACTATGAGGTCCAGGGGGCTGTCACTGAGGGTGAGAATTGACTCTTTCAGCATCCCACTGGAGAGTGGGATGGCCCTGGGCAGCCCCCGTGGGGCTGGAGGGCTCAGATGGCCTCCCAAGAGGGGTGAATTATAGAACACAGAATGTCCTGAGTTGAAGGGACTCACAGRGATCATCGAGTCTAGCTCCTGAACCTGAACAGGACAACCCCAAAATGCACACCCTGGSCCTGAATGTTGKCCAAACACTTCCTGAGCTCTGTCAGGCTTGGTGCAGTGACCACTTCCCYGGGGAGCCTGTTCCAGTGTCTGACCACCTGCAGGRTCAAGAACCTTTTCCTACCACCCAGCCTAAATCTCCCCAGACATAGTTTCATGCCGTTCCCTCGGGTGAGCATRGGGATGCAGTGTGCTAGCTTGGCATTGCCAGCAGGGAGCTGCTGGGAATCACTTTCTCTTCCCTGTCAGTTTTCCACCTTGTCACAGGGTTTGTGTGCCAAGTGGCTTTCACCACCTCACACGTGCCCGTGCCCAGTTCAACATCCAGAATGGAAAACTGTGGCTGGGCCAGGGCCAGGCTGTCCCTGTACCTGTACCCACTGCTTTTGGTGGGGTCACCGATGGGGCAAGCCTGGGCTCAGAGCTGGTGCTGTAGTCGGGGTCCATCCCTGCTGAGCCTCGGCCAGCGGGCTCTAGGACTCCAGGGCTCCAGGGCTCCAGGACAGGTTCAGTGACCCAGGGGGATTGTGCCAGGGAACGGCTCGTGCTTGTTTGCAAAAGCACGGAGTTGTTTTTTTCCTGGCAATGTTTGCCGGCAGCAGCGAGGCGAAGCCAGCAGGCATTGCACACGCCACCGGGCAGGAGGAAAGGTGGAATAACCCAGCACGTGTGGTGTTACTGCACATAAACASGRGTTGTGAAATCGCTTTCCTCCCGGACACCCCRGCGCAGTGCTTCGGGAATGTGCTGCCCCCGCGGCCCCCCCGCAGCAGGGCGGGTTCTGCTGCCCCAGTGGTCAGGGAAGGGAGAGCCCCGACCACCCAAAATGGGATCGAGCACCCCTACAGTGGGGAATGACTGTGCGGGGCCAAAGCTGGGGGAAAAGCAGGGGAATTCCCAGATTCCTGGCAATCCTGCACGTCTCATATGGATAGGCTGTGCTGAATCCTGGGACACGTTGTCCCAGGCCATGTCACTGTGAGCGGGAAGAGGCAGCACAGCATCCCCACAGAACTGTGTGTGAAGCTGGGATGGGAAAACAGCCTGGAAAATACCTGATTTCCCAATCTAAGCATTTCCACTAAGTAATGAGGTCATTCTGCARGCAGGACAGGGGGGAATGAATGAGTGTCCCCTGAGCCATGCTGAAATGCTGTGCCAGACATCAGTGGGGAGAAGAGAGCTTGGATGGGTCTCCTACAGTACTGCTGATACTCCAATTTCCCAGGGCAGGTAGTAGTTTAACACAAGTGTGTTCCCATGTAAAAAGAGTGCCASKTGCAATTYTGAWTTTAGAGCAGCCRTAAAGTGWGCCATGGAGCTGCAGCTGCCCAGCACAGGTCTCGGCTCAAAGTTGGGATGCTGGAACCCACATCTGCCCCCTACCCACAGCATTTGACAGCTGCTCTCTGTCACACTGCCATGGGGCACAGGGATGGGCTCAGCGCAGAGCTGTGGGGCAGGACCAGAGCAAACCCACAGGAGCCAGCAGAGCCAGACAGATTCTGTGAGCTTTGCTGGTTAAGCCATGTGTTTGGTGATCAATCCCATTAGGCACCTCTCCTTCACTCTTCTTGTGGGATCATCAGCAATGTTTTTGCATGGTTGGCACTTGCATCTCTCTGTGTTGGAAGGAATAAAGRTAACTCTGCTCTTTGCAGTGGAGTTTAGTGTGATTGCTCCCTGCCTGCTGTGTGTCTGCTCTGCCCTGCATTCAGCTGACACAGAGGTGGCCTTTGCACCCGTCAGAAATGTGGGGTGATGGCGACATCTCAGGGGACACCCTGAGGGAGGAACCCTCCTGGAGCAAAGAGGTATCCCCTAGGGATTGGCACTGTCAGCAGCCCATGGGCAGGGGTGCAGTGCTGTTGGCTGTGCCAGATTCCTGGCTGAGTCCCAGCAGTGTTGACTGGGTGTGTCAGGAAAGGTGTTGAACCTAAAAAGAGGCCATGAAGGGCTGTGTTTGAGGAGTGCGGGGACAGGCAGAACCTGCCATKTTCCTGGGAAGCAGCAGGGTGTCACATGGCACCTGGGGCGCAGTGTTCTGGCAGCAGCATGGCTGTGTTTGGGCAGGGTGAGCATCACACCTTGACGTGGCCATCGCAGTCATCACGTCCCATTGCGCGCTTTTCACCCTGGCATGGGCATCCCATCCCATCCCATCCCATCCCATCCCATCCCATCCCATCCCATCCCATCCCATCCCATCCCATCCCATCCCATCCCATTGCATTGTGAACACTGCATCCCTGGTATGGGCATTGCAAACCATAGTGGGCATCACACTCCTGTTTGGGCATCACTTCCCATCACAGGTACTGAATCCCATTGCAGGCAGTGCACCCTACTGTGGGGATCACACCCCATTGTGGGCACTGCACCCCATTGTGGGGAACCAGGTCACCTGAGGCTCCCCAGGAGCACCCAGCCAGGCTGGCAGAGGTGGCAAGTGGGTAAGCAGTGTGGTTCTTCCAGCCAGTTCAACTAAACTGCCAGGAGGAAAACGAAACCTGTTTCCCTGCCACCCCACCTGCCTGGAAACATTCCCCCTGGAAATGGGCAGGGCTGGGGCAGTTATTACAGTGAAAGCTTGTAATAATGAGATGCTCATTAGCCCTGAGGATTTCTGGTGGAGGAGACAGCATGGGATTTGCCCCTGGGTAACAAGAGTGTGGGAGGAGGAAAAAAAATCCCTTGTTGTGTAGGGAAAGTGTTAAGACAAGAGTCAGAAYGGAGAGTAGAGCCAAGACTGAAAGACAAGAGCAAAAATAAGACGCCGGCTCTTTGCCATGACCCCCCATGTGCACTGTCCTCCTCTCCCCAGCGAAGCCGCTGCATCCAACACAGAAGCGCCAAGTTCCTTATGGACCTTTATATACATATGACTTTATTTAGGTAGCTTATTACAAGTGACAAACACTAAAGAAATTGCAACACATATATATAAAAAAAAGACAACCAACATACACAATAAGGTTATTCTTCTTTGGCCCCCCGGATGTGCATCACCCCCAGATGTGCGGCCAGGGGTCCCCTATTTGCAGCAGCTGCACTTGGCAGAGGGAGGYCCCTTGCAGACACAGCCCTGTGCACACTTGGCACATCCTGCTGGGCAACAGGAGCAGCAGCCTGTGGGAGAGACAAAAAAAATATGAAGGACATTCTTGGGAATGTGTCGGGCTGGAGCTTGGGGGATCTCAGTGTTTTGGAAACCTCCCAGGTAGCCTTGCTGTTCCCTTTTTGCAGCATCCCCATCCTTGGCAGAGTGTCCCGGGGTGTTTGTGCAGCCGGGGCAACACTGGCTGGAGAGGCAGCAGGAGAGTGTGGAACCCCCAGGGGTTCACCAGGATTTCCCYAGTCCCTCTCAGCAAACCCTCACGGCACACGGCTCTGCTAGGGGTGACAGCATCGAGAGCACCCCAAAGAAATCCCAGTGCCGGTTTCCTCCCCAGCATCCCCTTGTGCTGAGCCTCAGATTGGGTTTGGGTCATACTGTGTAACTTGTATTGACTGGAGAGGGGGTGCGATTCACATTGGGGGAAAAAAACGTATGTGAGGAATAAACTGAACTCTGGCAATGCTGAGACTGATTTGATTCAGTGCATAAGCGGATGTGTAGTGAAAACCTCCCGTGTGTTTCTGCTCCCCCCGCCCGCCTCCCCCCCGTTCCTCGGAGGCTCAGGGATCCCTCTTACCTTTTTTGCACGATGTGCATTTGCAGTTTTTGCATTTGCAGTTGTCCCCGCAGGTACAGGTGCCACCTAAAACAGAGAAAAGGAGAAAAAGACGTTGAGAGGACGTGGTGGGAGGGGATACCCACAAGCCAGAGATCCGCGGGGGAGAACACTTCCTCCCCTCGGAGCATCCACTGATGCTTCAGCCTCGCTCAGARGGGAGGTCACGGCATTCGCAGCCGCTTCCCAGTGAGATATTCCCAATGTCACACCGCAATGCTGGATGCGGACTGCAGCTGCCGGCCCAGCCCGTACGAGGGAGAACACCGGGAATGGCGGAGGAGGCCGGCGGGCGGGAGTGCCGGTGTCACCGCGGGGACGGTGGGGCTCGCCCTGTCCCCCGGGATGGAAGGAAGCGCTGCCTTACCTGTGGCACAAGGGCAATCCTGAGAGTCCATGTCTGGCTGGGCTGGGTGCCTGCTGTCGGACGC